TAAAAAAGGCAAAATCCTAATAAATTGTTATACCCCTATAAAGGCCTTTTGCTGCTAATCGGGTCAAAGCGGATATTTTGATTGACTACCAAAATTTGTGCATACAATAATCGCTGTGAAGAATTTGAGCGGTTCTGCTTACTTCTACTCATAGGCATCGCATCATGAAAGTATGTTCTTTACAAAATGAAATGAAATAACCATTCCCTCATTTTTGATAACAATATGCCTATAATCTCATAAGGAATCTATAGCTTGCAATCCCCGATATCTGATACGAATTGCTCAGGTCGGCATGGTTTCTTGCAGGCTTGTGAACACGACAGTTATTCTTTTTGGATGAGGAAAACAGGACAACCACGTCTGCTGCTCGATATCTCACCAATGATGAAGAATTTAACAAAGACATTAACAGAAGTGAGCAGTAATCAAAACCCATGATTAACAGTGTTGAATCAAGATCTCCACATAGTCTCATTGTAGAAATTTTTTGAAAAATCGCAGAGGTCTTTTTGATAGTAAAAATTCTAGTTTCGATTCGCTGACCCTTCTGCAAAATGCGATATTAATGGTCATCACTGCACATTAAATAACAGATAATTTAAGGCGCATAAAGACAATGATTCGTCTACATCAGATTACACGATTGATCATGTGTCAGACGATTCCAATGCAGTTAGATGCGGTGGTCACCATTCGCGAAAACGTCTGAATCTTAAAACATTTAATTCCTATAAAATCTATATTATCCTTTTTTCAAAAGTAGGGCTTAATCTTAGATGGAAACATGTCAGTCAAACTCTTTTGTCCTGCAAATGCTCAAACCCGTTTCTATAGGTTGGAGAAGGAAATAGATGTGGAGGATTAATGATCGGTGTGCTAGGAATCGAGCGACTGTTGATATTTCAGTTTCATCCTGACGAAGAACTCACTGATGAGCCTTTAAAGCGTATGCACGTTGCATTACTGAGGCTTCGTAAGCATCAATTACCAGAGCATGATTTGAAGGTGAGAAACGACTACACAAATATGAAATACTTTCATGTTCTCTTTTATGGCTCATCTCTTCACTTCGCGCAATTTATTGGTCAGCTAATGAAAACTTCTGCAGTTTTCTCTAGCTTTTACGAATTGAGTCTTTTGGATTGAATCAGAATCGTCTGAATCTCGCAGCTTCGCACTTTAACTCATGTTTCAATATGCATATTCAAATATGAACCTATTTTGACATAGTCGTCCAATAATCGAG